TAAGCATTTGCTAGAATTTCTGAAGCTCTAGTGTCAGGAACAGACTTACTTTCTGTCTTGAAACTTCCCAAAGAGGACCGAGAGCAGGATGCAGTAGGATGAGATACGGAGGTGGGGAATCCACATATTTATCATTTGATTCAATCTGGAGAAGTAGAATAGATTCTCAGTTGAAACTATTATTGATAAGATTCACACTGACATGTAAAACACCTTCATAGCTCTGAAACATCAGTGATAACTGTAACAAATCATATAAAAAAGATGCGTCTCTATGAACTAACCATGGGAAGTTTAATATCACATTCCGTAAGGAGGTCATATGCATTCCGGAGTATATCCAACAATGCACCATCTGGAGTCTGTACAGAAAGAAATAAGTTTGAAGAAGTTAAGTTGAATAAAGAAATTATTAATTCCACTGAATCCAAATTAATGCAATGTGACAAAAGAATCAGACAGAGAAGTGCTAAGTAAGTAGTTAGAGAAAGATAACCTGGTGTAATGCAGCACTTGCATGTGGTTTCTTCTTCTTAGCTGATGAAGTGACTCTTCTTCGTTCATTGTATACAATATATGTATCCAGTTTGTCTGATACAATCATATTAAGAGAGTATGTAACACCTAAATACATATACACATAAAACATTGCAACTTATTCAAATAACTTTACCTTCTAGACTGCCCTGGCATCTAGATGGAAACTTATTTGAGAAATTGTCTGCTATGTTTTGCATCGTGCACTCCAATCTACCACCCATAACGCTGCCAAAAAGGAAAATAATAAGAGAGTTGCTAATGATGTTAGAAAAACTCAATTATTGAAGGATACATTTCAAAGTAATTGGGATGTAGAAAAAAGTGTTAGGAGTCAAGAGCAATTGGAATGAATTCCATGTTAGCTATAAGCAGCAGTCTAGATTTGACCGAGGCTTCTATTTAGAAGCAAAATATGACGAGAAGAATGGTGACTATAAACAAGGGAAGCAAATAAGATCAGCCAGCATAAGTGTTCAGAAATACAAACCTGTGATAGTCTCCATACTGATCAATGTACTCAATTCGCTTCTTTGTATTGAGAACCATATTTGGCAAACTTTTTACATTACTGCTCGACCCAATTAACTCGGCAGAATGTAAGTCTACATACAGAATGTTTGTATTGGCAGGGAAATCAGCCTGCAAACTTCAGAAGTAAAAAAGGAAATAATGATTTGATATTGATCGTCCACTTTGAGCTGAATAAAAATAATAGACTTGAAGACTCACTAATCAAAGAGCACTAGATCTAACCAGAGAACAAGAAAGAACAACTAACACTAAGAGGCAGCGAAAGAAGAAATCATTTTGCACTTATATCATCTTTTCAGCTAAAATGGAAATGCTATGAATCAGTTCTTTGATATATGCACATTTAAGCATGAACAAACTCAATGATAGAAATCATACCTATTTGAGGAAGGTGATTTGTTGGAGATTCCGAATTTATCAAATTCAGTGTACTCAATGCACGAAATACCATATTCCCACTTCCCATCAAGATTCTTCTTCTCCATCAATACATTAATTCCTTCAGTTGCTCCAGCATTCCTTTTACAGGATGCAAACCCAAGTTTCTGTCACATCAAGATTCAGTAAGCCAAGTTTTGTGGGTAATTATTTGTTTCCAAGCCCAAAAAATGTATTCTTTCACCCTTTTCTCTTGAAGTGGTAGATAATATATGTTCTCAACTAGTGAGAAAGTTTGGAAAGAATAGCCTTATGTTAGTTAACAGCAAACTATTTAACTAAAAACGTTTTGAGGCCTATGACACAGCTCATTTTTTCTAAAGGAACTTGTATATCATATACACTCAAGAAACTTAATTATGTCATACAGAGCATCTTTTTAAGCGTTACATAATAAATTTGCAATCAACATCAGAAGCTCATCCTTAGTGGGATCCAAAAGTGATAAAAATGATCTTTCAAATCTATGTGCAATGCATGGGTGTTGAACATGCTATGCAAGCCTACCTTCTTATGCCTTAAACCAATCCCAGCAAGGGCCAACAGGGTCACATCTGTGGCAGCCACAACATTACTGCAATATCACAATTATTAACACTATAATGCCATATTGTTCTGATTTTATTGTGACAAACAACTTCACAAGGGTACAAGTGACTAACCTAACTTGCCGAACAGTTGCACCTTTTCTTCCATGATCGTAGAACCATTTAAAGACACCTTTGTCATGCGCCAATTTCCAAATCACACCATGACCACCAGGTTTACTAACTGGCACAAAAGGCTTTGATACTATCCATTGGCCATCTTCAGCACTGACAGCTGGGACCAGAGGCTAGAGATCAAAAACCATTTTCTAAACGTGAGTATTAATACTCAATATACAGTTGTTGCAGAAAAGGGTAATAGAAATGAAAAGAAAAAAATGTATTTCCTATACCTGTTTAAAGAGTTGGAAATTTGATTGACCCCTTCCAAACCATTTGAGCCTCTTACAAAGCGAACTTACATGCTCATGGTTGTTCTTTGCAGAACTTGTCATAATGGCAACAGGTGTGACACATTGCTTTCCATAAAGTTTGAAGTAAAGGAACTCTCTAGCCTAGCAGTTACAAAAAACAAAAACAAAAAACATTACTAACTCATATGAACAAATACAGTTGGTCATACATCATCTACTGATTTTTCCCTTCCATTCACTCAAATACAAACAAGCCCACCAAGAGTCACTGAAGTAATTAGTGAACTTGTACCTGAAGGTCTCTAATAAGTCCCTCCAACAAAGTTCGTCCACAATGAGCAAGCATAGCTGCAGGAAGACATTCTCCTGTTTCTGAATCAACCAAACCTAATCTGTCTGCTGCACCTCCTAGCGGATATATTTCACCTAGGTCTGGCAATCCCTAATATGTATAACAACTTATAATCTAGAAATCATACACAACAAATTCCAGTAATATTGAAAGTAATAACACATTACTAACCTCAATTCCCCATAGTGCCGCCTGAGAGGCATACTCTTTACTCTGAGTGAGGTCAAGAACGTTAGGAGTGTGCATTTCTAAGTACTGGACACCCAAAGATCCTTCCACAAGATGTGACCGGTTAGTATTATGCCTCTTAGTCGATTGGTGAAGAAGCTCTAGAACCATAACCTGATACCTGACAAACAATCATGCAAATCTCAGCATCAAAACTTTCAAGGCATCAAATATCTGGACTACTAAACAATTGGTACCCGATAATTCCTCCAATGCAGTCGTAGAACTGTTCAATTTCTTCCAAAAACGTCAACAACTTTCTAAAGTGAGCAATCTCCTCTTTACCTAAAACTGTACTCGTCTCTCTTCTACCTTTATATCCGCTACTATTCACATCGAATCGCTCAATCATCTCAACCAACGCGTAAAGTGCGCTCTTCACTGAACTTCTCACTGTATACTCCTCTTCTTCTTCAAACGCTTCCTCATATCCCACACAAAACGCGTGTTCTTGCCCCGCGGCGATCACACACTTGACGAGAAACATCTCTTTCGAATTCAAACCAATTGAACCCAAAACCTTAGATAAACCGCCTCGATTCTCGCTGAAGAATCGACGAACTGTTGAATCAGCATCGATAACCACTTCCTTCCTCCGCATGTCCTTGGAAACGTCTAGTTTGGATCGGAGAGACTTAAGCCGATCGATTTCCGATAAGAAATCGTCGGATTCCGGAGGAGTCGGTGTCGAATACTCCACAGGCACGGTGGAGACACGTCTCACCTGGTGATTACATTGCTGCTCGCTCTGCGATGGAAATGAAGAAGAAGGGAGAAAGAGCAGAGGCTTATTGAAATGCAGAGAGGTGAAGGAGTGACGAGTTCGGAAATGGAAAAGAGAGAGGTGATTCTGGTGATGGAGAATTGGAGAAGCTTGAGGATTAGCCATGGCGAGATGAGATTACAGAGGAGGAAGAAGGAGTGGGGTTTTGAAGAGAACCCGGAGGAGGGATAAGGAGAGATACTCGAAGCATATACCCTCCTCCCAAACTCTCAATGCACCGATTGCTTCTTTTCTTCTTTTTTTTTTTTAATAAATCCAACGACCAGCTAAGGATTTGATGATTGTGTAGACGATCTGTGATTGTCGTGTGATGCAATCTTTAATCTAACGGTCCACATGGCATTGTTTTGGATTACACTTTATGGCCCATTTTCATGTCGACTCCAACATTTTTTTACTTCCTCTAAACAGATTTTCATACACCTTCATTCAATATGTTTGATTTTTTTGTTTATGTCATCTGATTGTATTAGAGAAACATAGAAACCAATTACAAGCAACGAAACAGGGATCCTGAATCATTATGTCCTAATAACAAGAGATAGAAGAGAAAGAGTCAAAGGATACAACAAACCGCTAACAACGAGCCTAAACCACGGAACCGCACCGAATACCACCTTTCCAAAGAGCCATTTGATTCCTCCAATATCTTTGATTATTAGCTACGATATTTAACATGTGTTTTATCAGTGTCAAAACTAAGGTGGAGAAATCTGAAAACTATGAAATTATTCGTTGATTTTCTGAAATTTCACTGACAGATAACATGTATAATGTGCAATTAAATTTGTATTGTGACACAACGACGACATTAGCACTATAAGTGGTAGTATATATGAATAATGGTGCGAGAGGAATCAACAATGCGAGAGGAATCAACAGAAAC